GGGAAGGAGTGGAGTAGTGCACAGTGTGTCAGGGAAGACATCAGTCAGGCAGCCTATCCCTCAGTGACCTATTTTATCCCCCATCAGCGCCGATCCAGGATGAGAGAGAGAGATGAATAATTTAGGAGGAACAGAGATGGATGAAAATGAGGCTCTTCCCTCTTTTGTTGCAAACCCCTTTTTATTTCAACAGCGGGACATAAAAAGAGACGATTTTATAAATAACTAAAGACAGATATTTTTTTGGATTGCAGCTGACGTGAGGGGGCATAGAGCGTAATCGTCAGAGATACGTCAGCGCAGTAGAAGCTCAACGAATACTCCAGACATCCTCATTTATGAAGGGGCTTTTAAATATTGCCAATTATATTCCAACTAAATGATTAAGTGCAAAGTGGAGTCCGGCAATTTGAAGGTCAACGTGGCAAAAGTACCTGAGGCTGTAATAATAGCCCTCTATAATTACAATAAATGCATTAGTCTTTTTTTATACCACTGTTATTCATCTTTAATATGCACCTGTATCTGTACTATGTAGATTACATAGAGTTGTACCTATGTAATCTATATTCTATGTAAACAACTGGCCAATATTTAAAGGTTCTATATATTACACAAAATTTCTTTTGAGCTTTTAGCCATGTTATGTTCTTACCTCATCTAAAACATGTCTGGGGTTGTGTTTTGTTTCATTCACACATGTTTGTGTAATCCTTTATTCTTAGTCTCTATACATCTCCAAAGCTCAAAACATTCCACTTTTCCACCTTGTGATGTCATAGTGGTAGTCAAGTCAGAACAACTACCTTTTACCTTTTGTTCAGTGTGGGCACTTCTGTCAGAGAGAAAAACTCAGCCTAAATGTACAGGGTTTGTGTATTAAACACACAACTCCAGGTATGTTTATGATGAAGAAACAACATTATAACAGATCAGAACATAGTGTAGTATGGTCCCTTTAAGTTATAAAACTAGGCCTGTCACAATAATTACTATATCAACTTACAACAATATATTTTAAGCTCAACTCCAGCTATGTTTTTGAAAACATAACATTTTTAACATGGCTCAAAGCTCACAGGAGTCAATTTTTTGTAATATGGGACATTTAAAAAGGTATTAAATTAATTTGTCATGATGTTCTCTGATTTTTGCTTTTCCTGTGACTGTACTGTGGCCTTTATCAGTGAACCATCATTGCTAATGATCTGTAAAACAATCTCCCAACAGTGCAAGGAAGCCCAAGTTGTTTGTTCGAGCTCCCGTCTGTGGTTGGTAGATGGAGAGTTAGAGTCTGCTGCACGATTTGCCCCTGAAATAATGGCCGCCCGGAGAAGGACCTTTTATCGATCTACTGGAGAAGTGACTGGAGACGCAGACGGAGCAGATGGTCAGCAAACACGGAGGCTGCAAACCAGGGCCATATCAGGACAAATCCACATACATCTTAAGATATACATTATTATATGTTAATTTATTAGTTTACTGATCAATTATGAAGACCATTTTTTAAGGGACCATATTACGCTGTTTCTTCATCTAAAACAAACTCAGAGTTGTGTTATTTTTCATTCACACGTTTATCACACAAACTCTACATATTTTAGGAGTTCTTCTCTCAAATAGAAAACACTGTTTCACCTTGTGATGCCATGTGGTAATACAGGAAGTGCTCCATTGTATTTAAACTCCATACACCTTCACTAGAATCATTTGGATGATTTCAGCCCTGCTATTGCCAATCTCTCCTGAACGAAAAGGTGTAAGTTAGCTGTTAACTTGGAAACTATCACTTCATGACATCACAAGGTGGAGCAGAGCATATTGATCTTTGGAGATGTAGACATACTAATAATAAAGGATTACATCTGTGAATGAAACAAAACACAACTCTGGGTATGTTTCTGATGAAGTAACAATATTTTAACATGGCTTAAAGCTCGCAAGAGACAGTTTTGCATAATAGCGCTATTATTAACACTACTCACACACATACAGAGAATAAATATGTACAGCTTCTGTCTGATTAACTTTACTAAAAATAATTCCTGGACTTTTTTTTTTTTTTTTAGTTTTCCTACATTTTTTTTAAACATATATACACATACATATAAACATAAATACATACATACAAAAAACAAAAAAAAAAACATATTTGACATACATGTAAACTTAAACTGAGGCAGATAATTCGTACAAAGAAATCAATACAAGAAACTTAGGAAGTGATTAAAAATAAAATCCTAATTCTTGTGTAATATTAACTGTTTTAATAGATTTAATGTTAGAAATACTGTTTAGAGTTTGAAGATAATTCTTGATGTCTAAGATAATGATTTTAAAAAGGGGTTTACTGACTAGGTTTACTAAATATTCAAATTTATATTATTTATGATGGAAATGGGTTACTATACTTGAGCAGTCCAAATGAATTCTGATGGATGTTTTTTCCAGGGTAATTGTTTCTAAATTTGACCAGAGTTCCTTTGCATATTTACAGAAATAAAAGAGATGGGGGATGGTTTCTTCTTCACTATGGCAAAAGGTGCATCATGTTTCATTTTCCTTGAATTTGGTTATGATTAAATTGGTAGGGTGAATTTTATGAATAATTTTCCAATGTAGTTCTTTAATCTTGTTATTGACTGCATCCCCAAAGCTCAAAACGCTCTGTTCCAATTTGTGATGTCATGATGCGGTAGATTTAACGGCTACATTTTACCTTTTGTTCAGATTAGCAGTTCCAGGGCTGAAATTATCCAAAAGATTCTAGGATTTATGAGTTAAACACGTGTGAATGAAACAAAACACAACTCCAGGTAAGTTTTTGATGAGGAAACAATATTATAACATAGCTCAGGAAACAGCATAATATGAGCCCTTTAATCTAGAGCCTTCTTTGTGCGTTTCCTTCACCCGTGACAGTCCCAGCCCCTTAAATCTTTGTGTGTAGCCTACAGACCTAAACCCTAATCCTTTCTTCATACTGATGATTCTATAATCTGCTCTACAATTGGCTTAGCATCACCACACTAATAATGTAGACGGGGATAAGTGGGGCTGTAACATGGGCAGAGCAGATCCATGGGGAAGAGCAGCATATGGGACCAGGAGTAAAACAGGAAGTGAGGGTCACGTGATCTGAAAGCGCGTGCCAGAATCTCAGGTGTAAGGAGGCGCACAGTAAGTTCATCTGCTGCTTGGAAGAATAAATACATGTATACTCGTTTTTTATGTGTATTACAAAACTTAGATTCCAAATATTACAATAGTTTAAATAATATTAAGGCTAAAGCAGGCTAAGAAATAATAATAATAATTAAAAAAAATGCAATTGAGATTGAGCTTGCTATTTGCCATTACTAAATTAGCTCGTTTTAATACTTGTATGCTCACATTAGAAATTGCTCAGTTACTATGACGCTATAATTGCTTGCCAATCCGACATACAAAATTTAAAGTAATAATAATAGCATGGATGATGTGCAAAAAAAGAAGAAAAATGCAGCTAAGGTGGTTAGTTTAGCTTAATGTTTATTTAGAGGGACAAATGAAGATTAAGATAAAGTTGTGTTTTGTTTCACTGACACAGCATCATAAAAAACTAAGATGTTCTGCACCAGATTATAGCTACATAGCATGTGTTTGGTGTTATGCTGTTTACCATTTTGTTATAAAATGTTTTTTTGTGTTTTGTGTGTGTGTTTAACAGGTATCTGTGGTCATATTCCACATGTGATGAGGAGAACATGCATGGCCTATCTCTTTAAGAGCTGGAGTGTGCTATTGAGCGGGCTGGGTGAGGGTGGGGGTTGGCTGCAGTGGAACAGTCCTCTCTAATGAGCAGATTTTCAGAGAGAGAGAGAGATGCACTGAGTGAGAGAGAGAGCCACAGATTCAGGCGAAGGAGAAGAGAGCCTGTAACACCAAGACACCAGGCAGCGCTTCACAGGCAAAAAAAAAACAAAAAAAACATGGAGAACGCCAGGACATGCTGAAGAAGACTGCACAGAGCATACAGACAGATAGATGATAACGCACCAGACGGGCTAAGGCAGCCCTCACATACAATAAACCACTTATGGATGCTGTGGATTAAAACCCAGTAGACGTGTGCGGCAGTGGAGACCTGAAGAAAATCATCATTCCTCCTGTTTATTTTCATTGTCTGCTGCTGTAAGTGAAGCTGCGTATTGTGTGTGCGTGTGCTTATGGCAGGAGACTGCATTGGCGTTCTCTATCACAGATCTGACTAAAAGGCAGCCGAGTAGATTACCTGTTCTGTTTCCCCTATTTCTGTTTGTGCGTTTTGCAGTGGCGGAGGACTCTTACCACGGAGCTCAAACACGCTACAGTTGTTCATCACACGTCCATGGATTCACAGGAATGATTTGGTGCAGTTGGACTTTTGGTGCCCGTGATCCAGGGCTGCTTCAGTGCTACTATTTTAGAGGATTGAAGAGCTGTCACCGAGGAGTCTTGTGAGCGCTACACCCCAGAGACGAGGAGGCATCATCAGGTAGGAGGAGGAGTGCGGGGGCCTGAGACAGTGTAGGCAGCTCCATGGCAGGCCAAACCTCCTGGCTTATGTTTGAAAACCACACATCCTGCTGAGAGAAGATGATGGCAGACATGGGCCCGCTCCAGTCCTCTCTTTCCTGCACCTGCCAAAAACGAGCTGGGAAGTGCTAGCTGAAGCTAACAAGAGTATGGTGTGAACAGCACACCTAACTGAACCAGCAAACAGTTTATTTTCTCATTTTGTTTCTTCTTGCTGTTTGTCACACCAGCTGACATCCAAGAGTGGCTTTCTTCTGGAGGGAGAGCTTCCCCTTCCCCTCTCCACCTCCTCCTCCTCCTCACCTTTGACCTCATCAGCACCAGCTCCGTGGACTGCCACTAGCACCAACCTGTCCGTCTTTTTACTCTCCTCATTTTATTTTTCTTTTCTTTTTCTTTTTGTCGAGACTTTAAGGGAATTGCCAAAACCTATTTCATGCATGTCCACTGGCGGCAGGTTCAACTTTGACGATGGGGGGTCATACTGCGGAGGGTGGGAGGAGGGCAAGGCGCACGGGCACGGGATTTGTACTGGACCCAAAGGCCAGGGTGAGTACTGTGGCTCTTGGGCCCATGGATTTGAGCTGCTGGGCATCTACACCTGGCCCAGCGGAAACACTTATCAAGGAACCTGGGCTCAGGGCAAGAGACATGGGGTGGGTGTGGAGAATAAGGGGCGCTGGGTGTACAAGGGGGAGTGGACTCACGGGTTTAAGGGACGCTATGGTCTCCGCGAAAGCACCGGGACCAGTGGCAAATATGAGGGCACATGGAGCAATGGACTGCAGGACGGATATGGGACAGAGACTTACTCAGATGGAGGTAAGGAAAACTAATATTATGCTTCTTTAGTTTGTGATTATTACATCCAGCGACTTCATAAAACCATATTCATCCAAGTGGTTAACCCTACCTTGCAATGACTAGTTATTAAGGCTTTTATTCACACTTTTTCTTGATCTTATTACCTCTAAAATTGTCCTAATTGTTGTAAATTAAAGGTGCACTGCGTAACTTTTCGGGTCTGTCACATGCTTGTCTTCATGGAAATGTTATTGCTTTGCCTGGAATGTTCACAATACATCATTAAACCATCTGTCGAGCATTTATTTAGTGACGGTCTTTTAATTGAAAGAAACATAAAAACATGTATTCCTACTGTTGCTGGGGTCACCTCTTCACAGATCTGACCTGTAACTTGGCCTGGTGTTGTCTCCATGGAGATAAATACGCTTATTGCCATACTGCAGGAGAATATTCTAGCACAAAGCTGTAACATCTCCACACAAACAGGTGGTGGGCAATCTACGAGTAAAGTTACGCTGTGCACCTTTAATACTCAGGTCATTTAGGACAGCTGGCAATGTTTAGCAAAACCACAACTACTTTTGACATAGTTATATAGAGTTAACAATCCTATTCTTGATATTGTTTACCTGAAATAGTAGCTGTCAATAACATAAGAATGGGGCAGAGGCACAGATGAATTGTGGGTGTTTACATACGTCTGACACAGTGCATGTGCGAATGTGCAAAAGTGAGTGACTGACAGTTGTGCTGCAGGAGACAACTTGTTAGTGGTGAGTGATTGACAGATGTACAGTGTGATGTCTGTGTAAACTTCTGGTCATTATTTTTACCCACTCTATCTAAACACATCAGGTGAAGCTTTTGGTGATTCTTTGATTCCCAAGACTCACTGGCATGTCACCCAACCAATGTGTACACTACCAGTCATTAGCCTGGATACACATTCTCATTCAGTGTTTTTTTTTTTCTTTAATTATTCTACTTTCTATATTTTAGATGTATGGAAGACATCAAATACATGAAGCAAGATAAATTGGGATTATGTAGTAAAGAAGAAGCTAAAGTTAAATACCAAATATTTTTCAACAAAGCAAAAGGGTGGGCTACTTTGAGGAGTTATATATAAAAACAACATATAAGAGTTTTTCTTTGCTACATAATTCATAAATACATTTATCTTGCTTCATATATTTCATGCCTTTCATATAAAAAAGCAGAAAGTAGTAAACAAAAACTTGATTTGAATGAAATAGTAGTGTATATAGAAGATGTAGAGCAAAGGTAGAGATGAGATTTTAAATATTAAGTCCATTACAGAGATGGGAGGAAGACATACTCTTGCCCACTGTAAAAAAAAAAAAAGTATTAATATAAATATAGTTTTCTTATGTTCATTTGTACAAAACCCTAGCCCAAAAATAATCCTTTGATGGCCCTGGCTAATATTGTGTATCAGAAAGTTTGCACATCATTTCAATAATACACTTTTATGATTTCTATTTTTGTTTCATTATGCAATTGTCGACCCATTTGAACATATTTCAGTTTGTTACTTTTCTAATTTACGACTCGCACCTTTCCAGTGAATCAATAGAATCAATAGGCTTTAGGTCACATAGTTGGGCCTCCACACAGCATATGGATTCTTGTGTAAAAATAGAAATGCTGACACCCAAAAGCACCTCCACAAAAACTGACACTTTCTGCAACAGCTGAGAGGAGAATGCACGAGATAAAGCTTGTTATATAATTCTACGAGGAGCAGTTTGATAATGTGAGTTTGGACCACACACATACGCACAGCTGGTCTGATAAGATGCTCAGTTGTAGACAGGGTTTTTAGGGGTTGTGCCAGGACAAAGCCACTGAAATGTGCTGAAACAAAATGATACAGATACAGGTGAGGTTGGACTGAAAACAAATGTAAGACTCATAAGTGAACAGACTGTCTTATTGATAAAAAATCATCTCATAGTTGGAGAAGCGAGGAAAATTCTAGACAGTAGACCGGTAGGGGAAAGTCAAAGTAGAGACACATTGGCTAGAGTGGTACATAGTGTCACATTTTTATTTTCAGTGTCAGTGATGTTTTAGCCAAATTATTGTTTCTACTTAATGGGCCTATATTATTTTATTTTCTGATCTATGTTATAATGTTATTTCCTAATCACAAACATACCTGGAGTTGTGTTTTGTTTCTTTCACACATGTTTAACACACAAATCCTGTATTTTTAGGCTGAGATCCTCTCATCACAAGGTGGAACAAAGTATTTTTAGCTTTGGAGATGTAGACAGACTAATAATAAAGGGTTACTCAAATGTATGAATTAAACAAAATACAACTCTGGCTATGTTTTTGAAGATGTAACAATATTCCAACATGACTAAAAGCTTACAAGAGTCAGGTTTGCCTAATATAGGACCTGTAAATCTTATAAACACACTATGTAACTTCTCTGGGCCAGCACCTGCTTGTCTCTTTGGAAATGTTAGTGCTTTTCTTGGAATGTTCCACAATATGGCATTAACCTTATCTATCCCCAAGCAGACAAACAAATGACTCCACTAGGCCGAATTACCGATAAGATGGAGAGGCAACCCCACTCATTTTTGAGGAATAAAACTCTACCGAATACAATAATACAAGACGTGTTTTAGCACATTTCTTTTGGATTGACATAATATCGCTTGCATTGTTAAAAGGCCTATATTTCACAAATTTTTGCTAAATTCTTGTGAGCTTTTATCAATGTTATCATGTTGTCACCTCATCAAAAACATACTCGAAGTTGTGTTTTGTTTCATTCACACAAGTTGTAAATTAACCCAAATTACTAAGATATCATGTCATGTAGTGGTAGATAAATGCTACATTTGACCTTTGGTTCAGTAGAGATTGGCAATTCCAGGTCTGAAATGATCAATATGATTCTTGTGAAGGTGTATGGAGTTTAAAAATGCAGTGGAGGACTTTCTGTATTACCACATGACATTATAATGAGTGTTTTCAGTTTGAGAGAAGAACTCAGCCTAAATGTGCAGGATTTGTGTGTTGAACATGTGTGAATTAAACACAACTTGATGAGGAAACAATATTATAACAGATCACAAAATATAGGCCCTTTAACTGGGTAGTCCCAAAAAATACCAAGCTATTCATTTTTGTCAGTTTCGCCTCCAAGAAAAGGATGCTGTCTTGAGTCACCCCCACATTTCCTGGCAGTGCCCGCTCGGCCCGCTAACCACACCTGGTGCCATAGTTCGAGGAATCACATCGCACATCTCATATCACTAGCTGCTTGGCTTTTGTCCCTGTTACATCCTCCCACCTCTCTCCTTCCTCCCTCGCTCTTCTGCAGCCTCCCTGTACAGTAGGGTTTCCATAGCAACGCTCGCCGACATGCAGCAGGTCAGCGTGTCACGAGGGACTCTGTGCTCTGCTATGTGATTGGTCGACCAGTGCACTCAGTCGCCTCTGATTGGCTGCCGTGGCCTTCCGGGCTAATGGTGTTTACTGAGATGAAGAGCTAAGCTGACTGATTACCAATCGCACACAGAAAAAGGCAGAGAGGGACCGGAGAAGAGATGAAAAAAAACAACATTTTAGACAGAATGAGTCATGAGGAGGAGAGATTTGAGAGCTCACAACACTGGCTGATATTGTGATGAAGCTAATTGCCACACACTGAATAAAAGTCCCCTCTCTCTCTAAAGTGGGCCTTGTTTCATGTGAAAACAGTGCAAATGGGATGCTCGATTACACACATGCGTATGACAGCTCAGAGCAGCTTCACGCGGCCTACAGCTCATAGCAATAAACAACTACAATGCTCTGTTTTACATTAAAGTTGTGCAATTTTCAGATCATTTGGGGACTTGTTTGAAACGAGGATCATCTCAGGTAACTTTGCAGTCTGTGTAAATGTCAGCAGACTTCCAGCTTTTTCCATGCTTTACATTAAAACTTGTAATAGGAACAATACTTTCAAAAGGTATTTAGTTACAGAATACTGAATACCTATTTCTTAACATATTCAGATACATCCAGTCAAAGTGCTTTTTTCTGAATACTTGAAATACTTTAACACTGAGTTGCATGTTGCATTTTTGTGTAAAAACACAACATGTGATTAAAAACAGCTTCATTTGTTACACTATTAGTTCTGCATTTCCTCTCATTAACTGAAGAAGGAAGTATCGCACTTTTATTTTTGTCACTAATTCTGTGCAGTTTGAAGTCTGAATTGTGTGATCAAGAGCCGCTATGTACTCCTTTAATTTTAGAGAAGTAAGTGTATTCTGAATAATAATGTGGTACATGTATTCAGTTGCAACAACACTGATTTAAACTTAAGTCAAGCTCTCTTGCCTATAGCTGTTTGGTTTTACTCTGGTTTATAAATGCAGATTTCTCTGTAGATTATGTGCACAAAATTTTTTTTACGATTTAGGCTACGTAAAAAAGTTTTCAGTTTATCTTATAGATGCTCTATGTATCTTTTTTGGTGGGGAGGTCAGCTACAACAGAGACATTATTATTATTTTGTCTTTATTTTGTCTTTAATATTATGACATTAAATTGGTCTAGTTTGGATTTATTCAAATACAGGTGTTTTTACTGCTGAAAAATACCTATAAATATACATTCTTAGTGAGAGCAGAGCCACCTCTCCACTGATCTGACCTGTGGGCCTTCTAGTATGCCCTGCTTGTCTCTATGAACAAACTAAACTGATTATTTGAGCATATTCAGTTGTGTTTTTGTTACTCATCATTATTGACACACAGTACTCTCAAATGGACCCATTAGCTACAATATTTGTCCAGAATAAGCCCAAAGAAATAGGCTTATGATTCTTATTAGGCCAAGCATGTGATGATAATAACTGTTTTATCAGATGTGCGTCATGACTGTATTAATCTGAATATATTTGCGAGCTCTTTGAACAGAGAGCTGTGTAGGAGGAGACTCTTCATACTCAAAGAAAACGGGTTTGTCTGCACCTCTCA